TGAAAGTCCAAGTACCATGAAAGAGATAACAACAATATTCTACAGATTAAAAATAATGTTTAAAAAATGATGACAAAGTGTTTACAGCTTAACTTTCCACACAGAGATACACGTAAAAACTTACAAAGTTGGGCCCTAAACTGTGCTCCCTTTATGTCTCTAATATTCTGCTCATAAAATCTCTGAAGACCGAGACCCCATGTAGGTACAGTTACTGCTATTTCAGATACAACCTGTAATAAAGTTAATCAGGCACACATTTAACAACATACATGTGGTAATTGTTATGGCACTGCATAGTAATTGGACATTAAGACTAAATGGTTTGCATAAATTATAGAAAAATGGAGAAGCCACATTAGCCCTTCCTCTATACCACTGGTTCCCAAATGCCTGCGTGCAGACCACCTGTATCCACGTTATCTGGAGAGCTTCTGAAATTATAAATTCTTCGAGATTATAAAATCTGACCCCTGGAGAGTCAGATTCAGTACATTTTGGTCTACGGAGAAGCTTTGCACCACACCAAGGCTGTCAAGTTCACATGTCTTCACAAGAAAGGCAAGTAAATTGGGGTATGGGGCAATGTCTTTTAACACAAGTGTATGTCTAAGAAAATAAGTATTTCTTCCAAAGGCATTTACACTGAGAATATTTTTTAATACTCTTAGACACCTCTGCCACCCTTCGCCCCACCTCATGCCCCTGGAAAACAGGTCTCTGTACTGAATTGACACTGACAGTTTGCAACCTCCGTAGACTAGACCATAGGGGCTGTACTTAAGGGTTTACTTTTCTTGGTACATGAAGCAGAGATGGTACACAAAAGGATCTTCTGCTGTATATGGCCGTGCCCTTCACACATTGTAGCTAATCCTAAGTCATTGCTGACAACACACATTCACTCATTTCTTCATTCAGTAAGTTTTTACTGGACGTCTAGTATGTTTCAGGCACCTGCCTCAGCACAGGAAATACAAAAATTGAATAAGACCAGTAGCTCACAGTTTGGAGGGATAGGTTTCAAAATGATTCTGATGGTCAGAATGGCATGAAAATATTCCTTGAAATCCAAGTGCAAGAACTGATTGCTCACTGTCCGAAGGCTGAGAAAACCGATCTCTCAGAAAATCTATTTGAAGTGTTCCTCCCCAGCAACTGCCCACCCCGCCTCTCACATCCCAACATCGACACAGAGGACAGGCCGACATCTGAAGCTCCGAGGCTCTGTGAAGCAGACGTTACCTCATGCTACATGGCTCTCTTGTTCACGGTGGCACCAAGAGACATGGGGCTTCCAGGACGTTCCATCCTGCCAGCCGTCTGATGATGTATTTGAAATGCCCATTTCTGGGGCTCTCCAAATGAGTGACATTTATAAGGTATCCTTCTCTTCCCTGAATCAAAAGGTACCGAGATTTCTTTCAGCTTCTGCTCCCCCAGCCAGTGCTTAGTGTTTATATGGCCAAAATATTGAGCAAGTTACTCGATTCCATTTCTGTGCTCACTATTTCGCTACAGAAATGCAAACTCCCCTGGGTAATTCCAAGCAGTTTCTTTACCCAGAGATCATCTCTGGCCACAGAGCAGCTCAGCTGCAACCTGCGTTGTGTGCGCTGCATTATACTGTAACATTTTCAGAGTCAGGGAAGATTTATTCAGTGATCAACTGCTTCGGCATCCTGAATCACTCCAGAGACAGTCTGTTAAAGAGGGGACCTTGAGGGAGCTGAAAATGTAAGCAAGAAGTGAAATAATCCTCTTTCCCTTTTAACCCCTTAAGCCATGATAAGGAAATAATATTCTTTTTTTATATGCATAGAGGAAAATGTCTAGAAGTAGATTCCTCATACTACGGAGTGCTTATCTGTAGAAGGTAAAATTAAAGGTGATGTTTATTGTCTTCTTTTCGATAATCTATATTTTCTACAATAAACTTTAATTCCGTAGTAAGAAAAATATTTTAAGATGCACGTACTGTTCTTCAAAAAGTTCTTCCAATGGAGAAAAAAGACATCATCAGCTATCTCAGGAACTAGGTCAGAATTTGGAAGACCAGCACACTATTCACCAAAACAGATAGAGTGGATACATATAACCAAAAAGCAAAGGCTTACATAGCTTTTAATATTTGAAATTAATACAAGTCAGGAATTGCTAATAATTTTTATTTAACACTACTCACTAGACAAAAGCTGTTTCAACTTATTCCAGTTTGCTTAGAGATGCAGAATGAAAGATATCCTGAGAGGGTGAAAAAACGGGAGTGTCATGTACACAACTCTTTAAGACCCTTCAAAGTGAATATCTAACCTGCCCTCTGAACTCTATGGCAGAAATGGGCAAAAGTGACCTTGTTGCTAATTGAATGAAAGCCAAAGGGGCAGGTGATGGAATTCGCCACCTACCCCAGTCTGCCTACTTTTGGATCACACAGGTTTGCTGAAGGAAAGAGCGAGTCACAACTTGAATGATCTTCGAACTCAAGATCAAGGTGAAATGTATCTCTTAGAAGTATAGACACATCTTCCCTCCAATGTCTTACAGTCAGGCTGTATTGTGCACAACTACACAAAGACAAATTTACTCAGTAAGTCAACTGGGGCATTTGCTTACTTGACGGCAGGATTTTTAATTTGTCATTTGACCTCACGTGCAAACAGCCAAAACCAAAATGTCTGAGAAAGGACGAACACAAGAAAAAACAGCTACTAAAGGATCAGGCTGGGCGTACAACAAGCAAAGGACATTCTGAATAAAGACCACCAACTGACTAAAGGGGTGGGGGGAGGGTGGATTTCAGATGGTGATAAACCCTATAAATTAGCAGGTATCGTCAAACATGCACATATAAAACCACTATAATAACATCTAATCATAACATCCATGGCAGGAAACAATCATGCATGAATTGTGGATATAGTTCAACCTTTTAACATAAAGGATGATCATTTGTTACTTTAAGTTGAAAAAAAAGTCTCACTGTAAAAAAAAAACACTGATTGAGCCTGGGTTCCTATTGTCAGCTACAATAGGAATTAAATTTAAACCTACCTATGGATTTCAGATTAACTGTTTTCACATTTATTCACATAATAGCAGAAATGACTAACTAGCTTTGATTATATAGAATAAAAAGCACTCTGTTTAATTAATTCGCCATCGGTTTTTACCAGGTGGACATTAGCCAATGTTTGGTCTTTAATTATGATGTGTACAATCAACTCACTCAGAAAGTTTAAAACCTCGAAGTCAAAGTTTAATTTTTTTTCTGTCAGCAGTTGTGAGAAAGAAAAATAAGAGTTGAAAAATTTTGTAGAAACCACAGACAGACAAGGCGAGGCAAAAGGAGAAATCTTCATTTCCACAGAATTGTTTTATTTTGACCAAATATATACTACCCTCAGTGCAATTTACTCTTTAACCATTCTGGGAACCCGCCCTTCCTGTGATGAACAAGCTGTGCAGTATCTCCTGATCTCGACAGCTGCACCAAGGACGACACTCAAAAATCAACGTGCTCTCTGAAATAGGGTGCAGCAAAGATGTGAAAGCTAGATACATACATTCATGTGGTTTTAGATTTTTTAATCCCTTTAAAGATATGTTTCACCAGTGTTATCAGATTTGACGTTATTTTCTGTTTTTCTAATCACGTCCCATGATGAGTTTGAGCACCAATTCAAGATTGAAAAACTTTTTAAAGAAAGGAAAAAACAGAAAGAGAGAAGGGAGGTGTTGCTTAGAAAAATGCACACAGGGTCCAGGCTCCCTACCATTTCAAATTCTATCAAATGTCCAGAATGAACCATATCCTTCTCTGAAACCATAGAAGACCATCACTGATGAGAATGAGGCCTCTCTCTCTCTCTTTCTTTCTCTCTCTCTCTCTCTCTCTCTCACACACACACACACACACACAGACACACATACAAAATGAACGAGAGATGTCACCATGAACAATCCCAAAGGCTATGCATTTATTCATTTCTAAATGCTATATAATTTCATTTTAAGGACAATTAAATATGTATTTGCATTAATGAATATATGCTTTTGTGTGATATGTACAAGCCAGGGAAACTCTGCAGAGGTTTGCCACCAACTGTACTTCAGATTCTATCAAATCAGATCAAATTTATCCCTTGAAAGACACTCTTGAGTTTCTAGATCTTCCTTATAAATTTCCTACTTCATCAGGATGTTGCTGTGGTGTTTTCTTGTTTGTTTCTTAATTCTTGTCCAAAACAACCTATTTTGGACACTTCCTTCTCATATTTGCTCCGTTGTGATTCTAACTTTCCTGTAAGTCTGTTAATAAATAATACATCGTCTTGTCGGCTTTGGCAAATATGTGTAAGTTACAGTGTTTCCTCTTCTTTCCATTAGTCCATCTGGCAACCATTTCATCCAGCAGGAACACACAGCAGAGTGAAGCTACTCTGAGCACCGTCCTTAACGGAGAGGCACTGCAGCATTTCACTGTTGGGGTAGCAGCGTCGGGTGACCTGTGGCATCGCCCTCAGTGAAGTGAAAACCATTTCACTAGCTGTCTTTTCAACTGTGACAGGCCTTAGTCAAAAAACCAGAGAGTGTGACCTGCCAGTCACAGGAGTGAGAGGCCCGAGGGCCATATGTCACCCGATTCTGCAGCCCCTTCTGACTCGCGGTGTAAATAATTCCCAGTCAGCAGGCTCTTCTCACCCACGAGCTGCAGAAACAAGAGTTTTTCCATCTACACTGTAACTTGTTTGGTCACGGACACGGGTGACTTAAATGTGAAAATCATTTCCCTTGTGGTATCTGTCATTGGTTGAGATATGTGATCATTGGTCTGCTGGATCCACAATTCCCCAGAAAAGATTGTTGATCCAAATCCGAGAGAGCAGCAGAATCTGTGTGTGACACCAGTGGCATTTTGCCCATCACCACACTCCAGGGAACGTGGCCTGGGAGCAGGGACCACATTGCTCCTTGAATGGAAATCAGCCTGTTAAGATGCTAGGCCTCCACGCAGAGTATCACAGCCTCTCACCATCACTCTTCTAGCTGCCAGCTCCAAGCCCCAACTGAGAAAATGAGGTAAAAATACTGAAATGTAAAAAGCACTACACACACATCATTACTGCTTTTACGATTAACGATCGTCATCTCAGACTCTTCACTTTTGCAAGCTGGTACCTAGTATGCTTTTTGAAAACTGGGTAAAAGTGCCCAGCTTTAGAGAGAACTTTGGCCTTGATCGCCAGAGGGATTTTTTTTTTTTTTTTTTTTTT